GGAGGAGGGGGTATTTAAGGGTGGGTGCAGCGGCTGAGGCCACAGAGAGACGTCTCCCGCCGTGGGTCAACCTGTGGACACCGGACGCTTGGTGACTGTTACAGAAAGGAAACCGAAGATGGAGACGGAGCCCACCGAGGGTGTCTACGACTACTACGACTACGACGAGCCCGAGAACGGCACCATGTGCGACTACTCCGAGTGGTCGCCGTCCTACTCCGTCATCCCCGTCCTCTACATGCTCATCTTCATCCTGGGCCTCTCTGGGAACGGCGTGGTCATCTTCACCGTGTGGCGGGCCCAGGGCAAGCGACGAACCGCCGACATCTACATCGGGAACCTGGCGCTGGCCGACCTCACCTTCGTGGTCACTCTCCCCCTGTGGGCCGTCTACACCGCCATGGGCTACCACTGGCCGTTCGGGGTGGCCCTGTGTAAGATGAGCAGCTACGTGGTCATCCTCAACCTGTACGCCAGCATCTTCTGCCTCACCTGCATGAGCTTCGACCGCTACCTGGCCATCGTCCACTCCCTGTCCAGCACCCAGCTGCGCTCCCGGGGCTACATGAGGAGCTCCATCGTCACCATCTGGCTGCTGTCGGTACTGCTGGCCGCGCCGACTCTCGTCTTCCGCACCATCAAGTTCGACCCGTCCAGCAACCGCACCTCCTGCGCCATGGACTTCAGCCTGGTGACCCTCAACAAGGCGAAGGAGACCTGGTTGATCGCCGGCCTCAGCATCTTCTCCACGGCCATGGGCTTCCTGCTGCCCTTCCTGGCCATGATGGTGTGCTACGGCTTCATCGGCTGCACCGTCCCCCGCCACTTCAACACCCTGCGCAAGGAGGACCAGCGGAAGAGGAGGCTCCTGAAGATCATCACCACCCTGGTGGTGGTGTTCGCCGCCTGCTGGGTACCCTTCCACGTGGTGAAGACCGCGGACGCCCTCTCCTACCTGCAGCTGCTGCCGGACACCTGCTACTTCCTGCGGTTCCTCCTGGTGGCGCACCCGTACGCCACCTGTCTGGCCTACATGAACAGCTGCCTCAACCCCTTCCTCTACGCCTTCTTCGACCTGCGCTTCAGGTCCCAGTGTCTGTGTCTCCTCAACCTGAAGAAGACGCTGCACGCCAGCCCCGCCAGCTCTCAGTCGTCCCAGAAGACCGAGGCCCAATCCCTGGCCACCAAGGTGTGATGGCGGCTCGGGTTCCCAGAGGAACGTTGGGGAACCGATGAACGTTGCAGAACGTTGCGGGCGAACAGATAAGAAGTCACACGGCTCCAGGGCGCTTCCTCCTCACAGATTGTCTGCAGTCAGTCAGGGTGGCCCGCTCCACCCCACCCCTGCTGCCCCCTCCCTCCCCCCCCCCGCCCCTCCGCACGCCCGCCCGCGGCCGC